TTCAAAACAGGAACAAACATGTGTATGCAGAGTAATCCAAAGCATGATTGGTAAACGGGTGAATGGTCAGTTTACAGGGAAATGGTCAGTTTACTGAGAAAACAAAGAAACAAGCAAAGGTCAAGCAAGGCAAGGGAACTGAATACTAATATTAACTAAACAGTATAACATTACTCAGCCATAATGTGTTTATCTGTGCTGTTTTTATAGTCTATGAAATCAGTCCATGAAATCAGTCCATAATGATCTTCTAGCCATGTGTGTGAAATCAGGGGGAAACAGGAACCGGTGTGTGTGAGGTGCATGCTAGGAGTTGTAGTTCACTAACGTGGCATGTGTGCAGTTCTCCAGCAATCCGCAGACACTAGATCGCTAGTGATCATAACAGAAAGAAATGTACTCATTGTAACTGCATATCACATAAACAACAAGTGTTGTCTTCTATAAAAAGGATTTTGTTTTTAAAAAGTACCTGGATTGTGAAATATGTGAATTAGCCTGTATGTTTCTTTTTTATTATTCTTTATTTTCATGTCATTTTGAATAATAAAAGTGGCAAAGTTTTATATTTTAATAAGTGGGAAAAAAATAACTGGATCTTAGAAAGAGGTGTGTACTTACAGTAAACAGAGAAATGCAAACAGAAGAAGTGTGTGCTTGTACTCATCTTGAGGACTCTAGAGATGAAGTGCCGTTGATATGATAAGTTCTGTGAAGAGATGATACCAACTAGGGCTGTGCGATTTCAGAAAAAAATATCTATTTGCAATTTTATTTGTACAGATATTGCGATTTTGATTTGATTTGCGATTTAATTTTGTAGTCAAGCTTCAGCTCAATAATCTGTATCATAGCTTCTTACAGCTAAAATGCAGTGAAAGTTAGATAAAAAAGGGCTAACACTTTATTTTGATGGTCCATTTGAGTATTAGTACACTGTCTGCTAAATATCTGTTGATACTGACATTTAACAGTCCTTCAACACATTTCACTGACTATAAAAAAACTTTTTAAGTACATGTCAACTCACACTAACACTAATACCAACCTAACAGCCTACTTATAATCTGATGAAAATTAGCTGGCATGTAGATGCAATGTAACTTAAAGGGCCATGAAACCCCCTCGTTTCAGCAGGGTGTTTTCACACCTCTACTTCGGAAAAAGTCAGAAAAGCGGGCGTGTCCAGCTCTGTTTAGGGGGGAGTGTCGGAGGAACTAAAGTGGGATGGTGTGGGAGTGTCTATTTGGGCACGCGCGAGTTTCAATCAAAATACTCACACGAGAAAGTGATGGTGTATTTTTTACAGTCATTGTGTTTAACCTACATGGACATCTGTAGTTGAATTATTTGCCAGATTATTAAATGTTGGACTTTAACTGCAGTTTGGCTCTTTCATTCAGGGAATTCATTCATGCCCCTCGCGACAAACGCGATATTTGATTCGAGGATCTGCTCTAAGCGTGTATTTTTCATGCAATGTTTGATACCGCACGGCGAATGAGAGAAAAAAAAGCTCCGCATTTCCCGGAAACTTAGATGCACTCGGCAGGTAGCGTCAGAAAGCCGCGTGTGTTATTCCGGTCACAAAATGCGGTGCTAACAAGTTTGCACTTAGTGCAATAGTTAACTTAATTCGATACGAACAAACTGAATAAACAAAGAGCACTGGTCGCTCACTTGCCAAATCTGTAGAGACAGGACAATCACCAGCAACTAGAGCCGCGTCTTTATGAAGAGAAGACTACAAGCTAATCCGGATTTCAGCGTTTGCAGATGAGAACAGCTCTCAGGTAAACAATAATCCTCCTTGGACACGTAAATTATTGTTGTCGAGCGTCGCGTACGCTGTTAATCCACACGTGAGTCTGAGCTCTCACAGAGAGAAAATGAAAACGAAACTTAATGGCAGCAAACTATAAAAGCAACACTCCATGCTTGTTTTGCCAACACAACGTGGCGTCTCTGGTGTAAACAGTGACACTAATGAATATTAATGAAGTTGCAGAATAGAGCGCGCTGATTGGTTTGAACCAAGTCTTACTCATGCATTAATGCATCACACTGTAAGACGTAATAAGACACACTCTGGCACAGACGCCCAGTCTGCATGCTGGAATACACGCTATTATGTCATGACCGTGACGCAGCTTCAAAAATTTGTTTCAAACAGGAAGTACAAATTTGCTTGAAATAACGCAAAAACAACCAATTTACACTTTTTAGTGAAATATAGGTGTCCTAATAGTGTTTTTAGCAGTGTGGGACACATATACGACTGTCAACAGCTCAAAAAATGTGTTTTGATGTTTCGTGACCCTTTAAACTCAACAAACAGACCATCAAAATAAATTGTGACCAATATGGGAACTGAAAAGATATTAACTTAAACATTTATTCAAATTTGTTTTTAAATATTCAGAAATTAAACACTCATTTTTCTCTAGAGCAAACAGTAAGCACAAATAAAACGACCTTCCCTTTCTGTAAACAAATTGAACTCAAATTAGGGAGTGTACCTTATTATAAAAACAAAAACAAACAAAAAAATAGATAATACAGAACAGTTTGCAAACTAATACGGCTGATAAGAGCCTTTCTGTTGCTTATATTGTCTAAATCAGTATAATCATCACAGATGCTACACTCAAAATAATGATGTTAAACTCACAGCTGTGGTTATTCCAAAATGGCTAAAAAAGGTGTAAGACAAAAGTATAAATCCTATCCTGCATTTAGATGAGTTTATTAAAATCCCTCTTTGGTCACTGAATTAAAAGGGCACTGTGTCTTTAGCAAGGTATTGTGTTTTGAAATTACTTATCTCCTAAGCTGTTCCAGGGCTGCACCAGCTGTTCTTAAGTTCTTTCTTAAACTGGAAGATAAAATCCCCTCTGGGGGCTTTGTAACTACTAGCTAGTTTGTAACTAAATTTGTTAAAATGTTCTTAAAGCAAACCGTAGTTAGTAGGTTGTAAGCTCTCTGTAAAGTCATGCATATTTAATGACGTAATATTCAATAGGAAGCAGTTATATTGTTAAACTGCTTTAAAATTCTGCAACTAATGCATCTATATATAACTGCCCTATTTAAATGAACTGAAATGACAAATTATATTTTTATAGTACATTACAATCAGTCACTACAGATGGCGCAAATAACTGCATCGCGAGAAGTAAATGCACACGAAATACACATGAACACACTGATTCCAGAACGACCCCAGTGACAGACGAGTCTCCACATTGATCTAGTGGGCAGCCTAAACACTCGCCAGTGACCTACTCACACCTGCAGCTTCGCCACGATGGACGTCCAGCATTCTCCAGCCCTAGACTCCAGATTTGCATAAGAAGTTTGGCCAGAGAAGAAATGATTCTGTCCAACTGTGCCTGGTATCTCTCAAGGTTTTTTCCTTCACTTTCGTCACTTGATGCAGTTTTGTTCCTTGTCGCTGTAACCATTGGCTTGCTTGGTTAGGAACTTGTGGAGCTGCGCATCAATAGATTTGCTATAGTGCTTAGACTTCCAGCTGTGAAAACTAAACCACACTGAACTGAACTAAACTGAACTTCAACTCTGAAAACTGGACTGACACAGTCTCAAGTTCAATTTACTAGAAATTCTATGTTAATCTGCCTTTACACAATCTACATTGTAAAAGCGCTAAAGAAATAAAGATTACTTGAATTGGGATCCTAAATGTTTTATGTTCAATCCTTTAAAGTTGGTAAAATCTAATAAGTTAACTTAATTCTTTCATGTCGTCTCAACTTAATGTGTTGTCAAATCGATTGTGTTGATGCCAGCAATTTTACAGTGTTACAGGCCTATTTGGCTCATTTAGTACACAAATGATTTGCCTATCCATGCAATACAGTGGAATACAGCAAGTTTAGTATACAAACCAAAAATATTAAATCAAACATTTTTAATTACATTACATTTATATTAATAATTTTAAATGTATTATTTGTATGTTCTTTTATTATTATAATACTCATAAGTGGCTGAGCTAAAATGAAAATCCTAAAATTACCACTGTTTAGTCTATGCCTCCGTCTTTGTTTTGAAACCTCCTGCTTTAGGTGGAAAGTTACTTTTGTTATAGTCTTGATTGCTCTGGCTTATGTTATTACCAAATTCAACCAGATGACAAACATGCCAAATCTTTCTAAAACCAGTAAACCAGATCAGCCTAACCAGCTTGGCCAGGCTTTGACAGCAGCTATATTCTATCTAAGAGGATAAACAGTATTCATTTCTTTTAGATAACGAGAAGAACACTAAACGCAAGTTAAATGACCAATTAAACTGAACTTTAAGTAAGATTAGATCACAATGATCCTCAGTTATGCAAACACTGGTTAATCTCATGCTAATCCTTCCCAAGGGGACAATTTACATCGCTCAAGACGCACTGTGCTGCTCATTGCAATGTACTTTAGTTAGAGAATTTGGAATACAATTTTCATGGCAACATAATATAGAAACAATTATAATGTCTACATGGAGGATGGATAATGGACTGAAACAGAGTCTCTGATTGTCAGGGGTCTCTAGATCTGCAGAGGCAAGATGCAAAATGGAACCACATGTAGATATATTCACTGCCCATAAAACTACTTTTCACATAAAATTACAGTATTTGTTGATATATATTCCTTGATTGATTGTATACAGTTACAGAATTCCCTTAATTTTGTCTAGGGAAACACAAGTACGCAACAGAATGTTAGTGGAGTTTGTGTGTGTGTGTGTGTGTGTGTGTGTGTGTGTGTGTGTGTTTGTTTTTATTACATGGTGGGGACCTCAGCATGATAGCACACTCACAAAGTGGGGACCAAAAACATAGTGGGGACCGATCGCCCGGTCCCCACTATGTTTTGCCTTTAAAAGACTCAGGGGGCGTTGCTGATATGCCTAGTGCAGTTTTTTTCACTGATCCCCACCTTGACCATTTACCTGAATTGAGTGTGTAAGTGTGTAAGGTGCGGCGCACTGCTCTATAGCGGTCCTGTAGTCGGATGGCGGTACTGCACCCTGACACACACTTGACGCAGTTCACACACTCTGCCTACTGCACATGCGCAATCTCATAAATGAATCCAACTTTAATCAACTTAATTAAGATCTATCATCAAATTATTCGAATTTTTGGGTAAGTTAGAATGTTTTTCACCATCATAATGTAATAAAATAGGTTATATGACAAATACTTATGTTGCATATTTTGACAGTTATCAGGTATAGTTAATTAAATGTTTTAACGAATTTCCTGGGTGTTTTAATCGATGTTGTTTCAAATTACGTATTAATATAACACTGATAAGACACAAACTACAGTTCGGTATGTAATTTAACTTGTTTACACGAGTAAAAGTTACTCGCGCTAATGTGCTAATGTGCTAACTGCCCGGTGCTACGTGAGTCAGAGGCCGGGGTGGAGTGCATGAGCCGCGGTCAGACAGTCACCAATCACCGGGCGGCTAAATGGATCGACGGAGGATAAAACCATTAAAAGATGCGGAGAAACACATCACCAGCTCCACTGACAAGACCCATTCACTGGAAACCGAATATATAGAAGGTTACTAAGGTATGTTTTCATAGTTCTTGTATCGTACTTTTTAAATGGTTAATTGCTTTAAACATTTAACGTTAATCCTGAAATAACACTATTATATACTATTTATACGTTAATGTAATAATATAGAGGTTATAATTAAAATGTGGGGCTATCTGGTCCTAGAAATGTACTTAATTTATTGTTCTATGACGTGTAGAAACGTTTTATTTTAGATAAATAATTATAATAAACTCCAACTTAGTGTAAAACATATATAAAAGTACATAATTGTTCACTGTGTGTGTTTTATTTATTTATTTGCTGTCAACTGGTAGCCTTTTACAATAAGGTTAAATTAGTTAATGCTGGTTAATGCATTTACTAACATGAACAATGAATAATACTTTATTACAGTATTTGTTCATGTTTGTTAACTTTAGTTAATGAAAATAAAGTTGTTCATTACTAGTTGAACACGCACAATGCATTAATTATTGCAATGCATTATTACTGGTACAAGCATGAATTTAGATTTGAATGATGCATTAGTAAATGTTAAACTATGATTAATAAATGCTGTATATGCATTGTTCATTACTAGGTCATGTTAGTAAGTACATTAACTAATAAAACCTGATTGTAAAGTGTGACCTGTAAACAATTGAAGTGGAAAAAAAGTTCTTTAAAACTGTCCTAAGAAAGAAGAACAGGTGTTCAATAGTATTAGAACAACATTGAGGAAAGGTTCTGATCCACTTCAAAAGGTTTACTGTAATTATAATTCACACACTGAGAGAGGATGCTAATGTGAGGTTTTTGTAGTTTTTGAACCCTACACATTAAATCTTTTAGGTCAGAGTTTGCGTTGTCCACATTTATTAAAGGAAGTTTTGTGGTTGAGTACAAATGATAGAGCTTGTGGAAGCAAAGCATAGTTGAGATATTAATAAAAATACTCTCTTTATGTTTGACTTTATATGGTAAAACAAGAACAGGTGGTTAAGTGTTTTCCCCATTCAAATGTACATGTATATATTATATTCATTCTGTTTGTATTCATGCCGTAGTTTAGCTTTTTATTGCTATGAGAGGGCATAATTAAAATGTTGCTTGCTCTTTTCTCTTAGTTTTGCAGCATTGATGCCGATCATGAGGACGATCTGCACCCTAACTGCACTGTCAATAAGATCGTTGTTCAGAGAAAACCTCATTTGTGCCTTTTTGCAATCAGGGATATTTTCTTTGGAGAGGAAATAACGTTTGACTATGGCGCATGTGATTGGCCTTGGAGAAAGGTTTGACATTTTGATCACTTAATACATTAATCCTTAATACATTCAGCAAAGCTAAGAGTTTTTTAATGTTAATATAGATTAAGGGTAAATCTGTTCAAAAATAAAGAGTTTGCATCATCCTTAAGAGATAATGAAATCAATCTCTTAATATCTTCTTCTTGTCTTAATGGGTAAAAAAGTTTAATTAATTGGGTAATGCTTTACTTTTAAGGGGGGTTCATAAGACTGTCATGAAAGCTTTATAGTCATGACATGACTTATATAACAAAGCTGTTTTTAAATAGCTTTCATTGAAGGATGCCCATATGACTGCAGAAGAAAACTGCTCCGACAACTCTCTGATGAGGTGTGTTTATTAGTATTATTATTATTATTAGTAGTAGTAGTAGTAGTAGTAGTAGATGTTGTTGCTGTAGTAGTGCATTTAATTGTAATTATTTAACTTAGTGTGTGTCCTAATTTATGAACATATGCAATAGTGTAACATTGTGGGGACCAGAGGCATGTTAGAGAAGCTGTGAAACACACTTAGTCCTCAATACACACACAGTACGGTCTGACATAGTGGGGACCAGGAGCCCTGAGTACTACTGTCTAATTATTATTTTTTGTTTTTTATATTTAGCTTTCATTGAAGTATGATCATATGACGAGAAGAAGAGAACTGCTCTGCTCCAGTAGGAGACCCACAACCCTCTGATGAGGTGTGTTTAAATTTAATAATAATAATAATTATTATTATTAGTAGTAGTAGAAGTAGTAGTAGTTGTTGTTGTTGTAGTAGTAGTGCATTTAATTATAATTATTTAACTTAATCAAAATCTAGAAATGAAACAGAGTGTGTGTCCTAATTGGTGAACGTATGCAATAGTGTAACATTGTGGGGACCAGAGGCATGTTAGAGAAGCTGGGAAACACACTTAGTCCTGAATACACACACAGTACGGTCTGACATAGTGGGGACCGGAACCCTTGAGTACTGCTGTCTAACTAATATATATTTTTTTATTTTCAGCTTATATTGAAGGATGACCATATGACAGAGGAAGAGAACTGCTCTGCTCCAGTACGTGACCCACAACTCTGATGAGGTGTGTTTAATGTTGTTGTTATTATTATTATTATTAGTAGTAGTAGTAGTAGTTGTTGTAGTAGTAGTGCATTTAATTGTAATTATTTATCTTAATCAAAATCTAGAAATGAAACAGAGTGTGTGTCCTAATTGGTGAACCCATGCACTAGTGTAACATTGTGGGGACCAGAGGCATGTTAGAGAAGCTGTGAAACACACACAGTACGGTCTGACATAGTGGGGACCGGAACCCTTGAGTACTGCTGTCTAACTAATATATATTTTTTATTTTTTTTTTATTCAGCTTTGATTAAAGGATGACCATATGACAGAGGAAGAGAACTGCTCTGCTCCAGTACGAGACTCACAACTCTGATGAGGTGTGTTTATTATTGTTGTTGTTGTTATTATTATTAGTAATAGTAGTAGTAGTAGTAGTAGTAGTAGTAGTAGCAGTAGTTGTTGTTGTTGTTGTAGTAGTAGTAGTGCATTTAATTGTAATTATTTAACTTAATCAAAATATAGAAATGAAACAGAGTGTGTGTCCTAATTGGTGAACATATGCACTGACATTGTGGGGACCAGAGGCATGTTAGAGAAGCTGTAAAACACACTTAGTCCTGAATACACACACAGTACGGTCTGACATAGTGGGGACCGCGACCCTTGAGTACTGCTGTCTAACTAATATATTTTTTTTTTATTTTCAGCTTATATTGAAGGATGACCATATGACAGGGGAAGAGAACTGCTCTGCTCCAGTACGAGACTCACAACTCTGATGAGGTGTGTTTAATGTTGTTGTTATTATTTTTATTAGTAGTAGTAGTAGTAGTAGTTGTAGTAGTTGTTCTTGTAGTAGTAGTAGTGCATTTAATTGTAATTATTTAACTTAATGAAAATCTAGAAATGAAACAGAGTGTGTGTCCTAATTTATGAACGTATGCACTAGTGTAACATTGTGGGGACCAGAGGCATGTTAGAGAAGCTGTGAAACACACTTAGTCCTGAATACACACAGTAATGTCTGACGTAGTGGAGACCGGGACCCTTGAGTACTACTGTCTAACTAAAATATATATATATATATTTTTTTTTTTCAGCTTTTATTGAAGGATGACCATATGACAGAGGAAGAGAACTGCTCTGCTCCAGTAGGAGACCCACAACTCTGATGAGGTGTGTTTATAATAATAATAATAACAATTATTTTTATTATTATTATTATTATTAATATTATTAGTTGTAGTAGTGATAGTAGTTGTTGTTGTAGTAGTGGTGTATTTAATTGTAACTATTTAACTTAATCAAAATATAGAAATGAAACAGAGTGTGTGTCCTAATTGGTGAACATATGCACTGACATTGTGGGGACCAGAGGCATGTTAGAGAAGCTGTAAAACACACTTAGTCCTGAATACACACACAGTAAGGTCTGACATAGTGGGGACCGGGACCCTTGAGTACTGCTGTCTAACTAATTTTTTTAACTAACTAATTATTCAGCTTTGATTGAAGGATGACCATATGACAGAGGAAGAGAACTGCTCTGCTCCAGTACGAGACTCACAAATCTCTGATGAGGTGTGTTTAATGTTGTTGTTATTATTTTTATTAGTAGTAGTAGTTGTAGTAGTTGTTGTTGTAGTAGTAGTAGTGCATTTAATTGTAATTATTTAACTTAATCAAAATATATAAATGAAACAGAGTGTGTGTCTAACTAATATATATTTTTTTATTTTCAGCTTATATTGAAGGATGACCATATGACAGGGGAAGAGAACTGCTCTGCTCCAGTACGAGACTCACAACTCTGTTATTGCATATCAGATTTAACGAACCGTTTACTACGGATTTCATGTAATTTTGATAACTGTTCATTAATCAGATGTCATCACGCTGCTGTGCCGTCAGCCAATCGTTGCATTGCTGATAATGATTTTGAGGATCGATAGATCTGTCACAACACACAGTCACAACACATCTCAGATCAGTTTAATCTGATTCGCAAACTTTTTTGAAGAACTAAATTAGCCTAAGATGAGTTATCAAGATTAAAAGATCCAGGATCTGTAATATAATCTTAGATTATTTAAGCGAGGTCCGAAGAACAGACCCCTGGACCCTTGAGTACTACTGTCTAAATTATATTTTTCAAAATAAAAATTATAAATTATATATAAAAATATATAAAATAATTTTTTATAAAATATTTATAAAATTATATATAAAATATATATATTTTTAATTATATACAGTTGAAGTCAGAATTAATAGCCCCCTTGTTTATTTCTTGTACTAAATTTCTGTTTAATGGAAAGCAGATTTTTTAAACACATTTCTAATCATAACAGTGTTAATAACTCATCTCTAATAACTGATTTATTTTCTCTTTGCCATGATGACAGTAAAAATTATTTGACTAGATATTTTTCAAGACACTTCTATACAGCTTAAAGTGACATTTAAAGGCTTCACTAAGTTAATTAGGGTAACTAGGCAAGTTATTGGAGGGATAATAATATTGACCTTAAAATGGTTCATAAAAAATTAAAACTGCTTTTATTCTAGCTGAAATAAAACAAATAAGACTTTCTCCAGAAGAAAAAAATATCATCAGACATACTATGAAAAAATTCCCTGCTCTGTTACACATCATTTGGGAAATATTTGTAAAAAAGTTTTAAAAAGGTGGGCTGACTTCAACTGTATATACTTTCATATATATATATATATATATATATATATATATATATATATATATATATATATATATATATATATATATATATATATATATATATATATATATATATACAGTTGAAGTATTAATTATTAGACCCCTTGGAATTTTTCTCTTCTTTTTTAAATATTTCCTAAACGATGTTTGTCAGAGCAAGGAAATTTTCACAGTGTGTCTGATAATATTTTTTTCTTCTGGAGAAAGTCTTATTTGTTTTATTTTGACTAGAATAAAAACAGTTTACATTTTTTTAAACACCGTTAAGGGACAAAATTATTAGCCTCTTTAAGCTATATTTTTTTCTCGATAATCTACAGAACAAACCATCGTTATACAATAACTTGACTAATTACCCTAACCTGCCTAGTTAACCTAATTACCCTAGTGAAGCCTTTAAATTTCACTTTAAGCTGTATAGAAGTGTCTTAAAGAATATCTAGTCTAATATTATTTACTGTCGTCATGGCAAAGAGAAAATAAGTCCATTATTAGAAATGATTATTAGAAATAGTAATTAAAACTATTATGTTTAGAAATGTGTTGAAAAAAATCTTCTCTCCGTTAAACAGAAATTGGGGAAATAATAAACAAGCTGTCTAATAATTCAGGGGGGCTAATAATTCTGACTTCAACTGTATATAAAGAGTTTCATTGCAGAACGAGATATATCCATTTAAAAAAATGTTGGTAATTTTGACATTATTTTTCAGGACATCAACAGTCAAGTTCATTCACAATTTCTGTACATTAAACTATAACTTGAGCTCAGTGAAGGCCAGGAACACAATATTTTCAAATCCAGGATATTTTTTATTTAATTTTATGTCTATAATTAAGTAAAAAAAAACATGCCAAAATGCTACATATTAATCCAACCCACATTGTCAAACATGGAATAATATATGCAAAGATTGATTAATAATAATAAGATTCTAAGTTAGATTTGGCCAGAATGTACACAACATAACATAACATAACTTTTTTTTTTTTTTTTTTTGCAAAACGCTACATCCACCTTAGGCTATATTATACTACATTAATACCATTACCAAAAGCTAGTGAATCAATGTTTTGTTTGATAAGTAAGATTAAGTTAGTTAGATAAATGACCTTTAGCTTGGTACAGAAAGAGTGGGGGGCGGCTCCTTCCACACCGCTGCAGAAAACCAAACCTGTATGATTAGAGCGGGCGGAGCTGAGTCCGTGACACAAACTTGCCTCGCTATGTCATATTTAATGAATTATTTCACTGTAATAATAATAATAGCTTATTTATTTGGTTGTGAAAAAGCTAAACCGTTTTCTCCATAACAACATGTGCCCTTTAAGTTCCTTTATAATAAATCAACAACAACAAGAATTAATTTTAAATAATAGGTGCAACCACATAAATAAATCTTCAGATAGGCTACTCAGCTACATTTAAGAAATTATTTAAAAAATAAACTTATAAGGGACACTTGCAGACAGGTATCTTGTGATGGGGAGTAGGAAAAAAGGCGCTCCTAGGCCTTCTCTTGACATCAGCGGAGACTCGTTCCCTGCTGCATTTGTGTATTGTTGACGCAGAAGTATCTTATTCTGGTCCACTTTTGTGGCCTTTTTATTATTTTTTTGTGAAATTGAAGACTTCATCTTCTATCGCTAAATCAATGAGCAAACTCTGAGCACTTCACCGGCGATGACTCTCTTCCCAGGGGATGCTGAGCTCGCGCCGCATCCTGAACGCTCTCTAACTGTTATATCGCACTTTGTAAAGAAACTGGTCTGACGGATATTGCGTTTTGTAAAAAAAAAATACGTTTTGTACTTGGCCTAAAATGTGCATTCTTAAATGTTATTAATGGCAGCAATTCACACATAGATTAAGGTACATCTGAACAGTGATTTCCAATAATAAAATCCAAATGTCAAAAAATGCCGTTTATCGCATTTTGCAACCTAACTGTTCATATGTATGTGTGTGTTATGAATGTATGACTGCAGAAGAGAACTGCTCTGTTCCCACAACTCAGTTTTTCTGGGACTTGAAAACAGACGCTCAGCAGATTTTAAAGGGTGGAATCTTGATCAAATCGTGGGTTTACACACAAACATGTAATACAGTGCCAGATTTTCTGGATGTTATATACACATTTGTATTTGCAAACATATATCATATTGTTTTAAATGATGTATTTTTGTGTGGGTTTTTACATTCAGAGAAAGTTACAGTGGATCGTGATTTTGGAGGAGGTGAAGTCCAATCTAAAAGGTAAAAATATTATTTATTTTTCTGATCAGAATTTTTCTTTTTTCTATTTTTATCATGATATGTATGTGCTGTGTTTGAAAACTATTTTTAAGCTACCATCACACGCTTTTACCCATTAAAAAGAACAACACAAAATCAAATAAATATTTTGGTAAGCTTTATGCAGAGAAGTCAACTCTCAGACTTGATTTTTACTTTCAGAGTCCCCTCAAGTATCATCACCATGGTACAGTGTCTGTGAAGATAGTGAAGCAGACCCAGCATTCACAAAAAAGAGAGGTATGATCATTAAAGTTAATTTGTGACTGACTTGTGTTATTGTACAAGTCCAAATGCACAAGCTCATTTACATAACATGTAGGGTAAAACAGGACAGAAGCACATTACTTCTATGATGATTTCAGTACAGTTGCACTTGATGTCTCATTTCATGTTAGTTAAACAATATTGCTAAATACTTTGGAAAAATATACTAATTGCATATCTGGTTACACTTTATTTTGATAATTTACTTTACTACTACTACTACTACTACTACTAACTACAAGTAACTGCAACTACTTGTCAACTAACAGCCATTAGACTGTCTGTTAGAATCAACACTGCTAATGCTCTACTAAATTTATTTAAGAGTTAGTCATATTGTACTAATTTTGAGCCTAACTTAGTCTGCTGTACTATTTACTGAGACCAATGAGAGTCAGTTTTATTGAGGTAACCCTAACTGTCAGCTAATACTCTAAACTCTAAAAGTAATAAAAATAAGTAATAATAATTAAATTAGCAGTTTTTCATAATTTGTGATTCATGTTTTTATGAAATCTGTTTGTTTCTGCTTTTGAATTGCATTATGGGATCTTGATCTTTCTTCCAACAACTTTTAATCTTAAAAAGTAAAAAAAGTGACTTTTTGTTTGGGTTGGTGTTGTATATTATGCTACAGAAACCTTGTAATAAACTGCCGGTACATTTTCTGTTATTCTAAAGACTTATTTATCTCTATATATTATTTCTTATACATTACATTATTTTAAACTACTAAAATGTCAGTAAAAGTCACTTTGTTAAACTGTAGAGTTGAATTTTCAACATCAAAAGTGCACAGAGCAGAGATCAACATCCCATAATGCAATTCACCACCACACACAAAAAAAAAACACTTCATCAGATGAGCGTTAGTCTTATTGAACATTCTAACAGTATGCAAATACTCTAATACATAATACTTTACGGTGAGATAATTAACGTAGTTGCAGAGTTACGCATAGTTCGAAGAATGTCTAAACTGGACTATGGAATAAAGTGTAACCACATTAACCAGTTTTGGAGTTAATAGGAAGTATTTTTTAATCCATCTCCATCTTAAGTATTTTTAATAATAGGCAAGACATATTTTTCTAGCATTTTCTATCACAATATTAAACTAACATAACAGCACATGTTGTAAAAATGACTGAACATTTATGCAACTAAAACCACTTTTTTATATTTTAACCACCCATAGGTCCCATAAAGAGAAGATCCTGGAGCAAACAGGAAGTACATGCTGTGGTGAAAGCTGAACCATTGGCTCTAAAAACCAGAGATTGGTCAGCTTTGGATTTTTATATTAAAAACTGAATCTCGGCTCTTTAGATATCTTTAGATAAAAAATCTGAATAACACTTTCATAGTAACTACACACTATACATCATTAGTTTAGCACTAACTCTACATTAATAGACTTTAGGAAGCAGTTTATAAATACAGCTTCAAACGCTGTATTCTTGACTTGACTTAATTGTATTTTCATGCTTTGTTACTGATTCATTTTTCATTACTACATTATGTATTGCATTATTTACTAACTATTTGTATATAAGAGTTGGTGGTTTTTAAGATAATTCAGAATGAGTTATTAAATGATTAATAAACTATTCAAATGAACATTTATACATGTTATATTCAGGCATATAGTAATTGTCACCATGTGTGTTAGTAAATGCTATAATAACACAACTTCATGCAGTTTTGTGACCTAAGGACTGTTTATAGTTGATAAATCCCTTATAAATGACAATTAAAGGCTCAGTATCTAATGAACAATAAATCTTTGCAATCTTATTAAAAAAATTCTGTAAAGTTTAAACATTGCAAAATAAAAATACAACATCATTTCAAAACAACATAATTAAAAACATGACAATATTAATTTCAGTGTTTCTGTGATGTTTGCACTGTACAGTAATTTTATATTTTGAAATATATTTTATATTGCAAAGATTTATTTTTCTTTAGATAGTTTCATTTGTGTATCTTGAAATTAATGAAAAAATTAATATATATATATAAATATATATCTTCTTTGGCCTTAGTCCCATATGATTGCGGGGTCGGCTCTTTTTGGAACAAGTCCTCCAGTTTTAGACTTGTCCATATGATAACGACTTTTTTTACACCTTCCGGCCAGCCTGTCATATGGGCCTGTCACACTCATACACTATATATATATATATATATATATATATATATATATATATATATATATATATATATATATATATATATATATAGCTATGAATCACTCTCCCTTTTAATTAATTTATTTTTTCTGTTTAGAATATAGCTGACATTTTAATTTTCATTTATAAGGGATTTATAAAGCATAAATAGTCCTCACTTTAGATTAGCTCACAAAACTGCATGAAGTTGAGTTCATAAAGCATTTTTTGTCAGACAGAGTAACCATTACTATATGCCTGATTAATAAGATATATAAATGTTGGGTAACACTATAATAACTGCACAAATTCATTTATGAAACATTAGCAAATAGTTAGTTGATCGTTTTTTAAGCATTAACGCTACATTAATAGACATTAGTAAGCAGTTTATAAATTATATTTATAAATATAAATTACAAATATTATTGACTTATAACCACAATTATAATGTGCTTAATGATTGTTTTCATACTTGGTAAATAATGCAATACTTAATTTAGTAATGACAAATACATCATTAACAAACCAGATATTTAAAAGTAGTTGGTGTTTTTTTTTTTTAGATAATTCAGAATGTGCAAGTAAATGATTAATAAACTATTCAAAATAACATTTATAATTCTTATTATTCAGGCATATAATAAGTTGTTTAGTATGTTAATAAATGCTTTATGAACTCAACTTCATGCAGTTTTTTTATCTAATCTAAAGCGAGGACTATTCATGCTTTATAAATCCATTATAAATGACAATATAAGGCTCAGTTACATTATATACAGGTAAAAAAAGACTATTAATTTCTATTCATTACAAGATGCACAAATGAAACTGTATCAAATGAAAAGTAAATCATTGCAATCTTGTCTAAATATAAAATTGCTTTACACTTAATGTATTGTTAAATAATTATATTGTTGTTTTATCAAATGATGTTGTATTTCGACACTCCTGTTATTCAGCAATGTTTAAAATTTACAGTAATTGTATTTGTTTAGGTACGATTGCAAATACTTAACGTTTACAGTTAAACGGTTAATAATGTTATTTTATCGTTCTCTTTATTATATGAATTTGGGAGACAAAAAGCATTAATTTAAAGCATGTGTACAAATGCGACGGTGACAATCGTTTTTATATAAACCATAAATGTCTGGCCGTGATGCGTATTTAGGCCTATGCCAGTCTATAAAAAGATAATGTAGCTTAAAACACTTTAAAATTTTAGAGAACGTAATACAGTTTGCACAACCAATGTTTGGTCTTAATAACCTGCCCATAATTAAACGTCATGTAGCCTACTTTTTGATTACTTGACCAGCGGATTAATGGCAGCACCAGCGGATAAACGAGATCTGAGCATAATAGGTATGACCAGTATGTGCATAACCAATATGCAAAGTCAAGAGAGTGCACGACTCCATAGGGTAACGTAGCCTAAACTGCGCACACTTGATTATGTAATGTGTGAAATCGTGGACGCATCTCAAAGAGCAAAGCATAACTTATTAAATGCCCATGCTTAATCGGTCATTGATAAGGTCTATCGGTTTTAAAGGGTTACCGACAATAAATCAATCGAGTAATCGTTAGCATCCCTAGTTTAATCAATGAATGTGTTAAATTTAATATTTATATTAAAGATGAATAAGGCAAGAATATGATAATGATACTTTTTAGATTTTTACACCTACAAAAATATCTTGTGGTAGTTTAATAAAAATCTTTGTAAATAGGTTATCTGTAAAAAACGCAATCAGAGCCAATGACATGTAGGAGTAGTGTTGCCTAAACGGCTATTAAATTTCTAATAAAGTTAAAACCAAAGTATAACTCATTGCATTTTTCATTTGATAAAAATAAACAGAAACAAAATAAAATCATAAGGTGGCTAGTTTGTAATTTATGTTAATAATAATAAAATGACATGCTTAGACTATAAGCTTAACGGCTATACGCTGCCAATAGGCCATTAATAAATATTATTTTACTTTGTACTGGATTATAATGTATATTTTACAATAAAAACTTAATATAGCATGTCTTACTGTCATTTAAAACAAGTAATTCATAACACATCAGAACTGTAGGCCTGCAGTGTGTAAACTGTATACAGGGGGTGTTGGTCAATCAATAGCCTACAGCACATAATTGAACTAATTATGATGCTAACTGTAATTTAGCTCTTAATATAGGCCTACGATATATTTTCTGGTGTTTAATTTTGCATGAGCAAATAGCAGTATAGCCTAAAGTAAATTTTTAAAAAAGATTATCATTTACCCTACCTGCAGCACATGTGAGAGGTGGATCTGCAGCAAACTCACTTACACACTAGGCTATATCTATTTAATTTATAACAATGTAAACTTGACTTCGCAGGCCGTTCATCTTTGAACACAAAAGGCATTTTTAAGTGTCCTAACTTGACTGCTGCTGCATAATGGGATATTTCTTTACAAAACTGTAAAAGTGCGCTTTAGCATGTCAAAATGAAAGCAAACGTTCAAAAGAGTTCTGTGTTTTGTCAATTTTACTAATATTAATAATAATGGATATAATAAATTTAAATAATAATTGCACTGTGCAGTGTACTAAATATTTTTATTAGGCTACATAACTGAAAAACTATTTCATAACAATTTTCATAATTTTTATTGCTATTTCATATTATACAACATCTAAATGTAGCGCCGGGCCTGCGCTCGATACCAAGGAGTGGGGCTGTGTGTAGCACCTTTAAGCAGCGTGTCAATCAATAACCAAAAGCAAGTTCATATTGTAAATATGTCTTTAATGATACTTATTGAAAAGTCATTTAATCTTACCCCTCGTATAGATTTTTTAGTTGCACCATTAAAAAAACAGAGCACTCTAGAGCCCTGCAATACTTTGTAATTAAATAAAGTTTTTTTTTTTCTTTTTTCTAGAAAACTGTTTTCGGAATATTTTGTCTATTAAGCAACGCAAGAACAGAACCGAAAAAATATAAATTCTGCTTAGAGTGAACCGATTGGATTTTCTTTTTTTTTTCTTTTTTTAGCACTGATTATATGTCTGAATAGTAAATGTATAAATGTTCATTTATATAGTTTTTTAATCATTTATTTACTCATTCTTAATGATCTTAAAAAACACCAATTATTCTTAGACAGTTTGTAAATAATGCAATACTTCATTTAGTAATGAAAAATGAATTATAAACAAAGTATGAAAACACAAAAATTGAGCACATTACACATGCTTATAAGTCAACAATAGAGCATCTAGCTGTGTTTATAAACTGCTTACTATTAATGTAGAGTTAATGCTTAACAAATGATGTCTATTTGGAGTTTTGGTGGCTTGGTTATATGATGAAGGTCTCTGTGCATTTGTGGGGTTCAGTTCTTTATAAATATATTTTTTAATATTTTAGACAGAAACAGAAATAGAACATACTGGTGGGTTTTAAGAGTTTACCCAAAAATGTAAATTATATTATTAATTACTTGCCCTCATCTCACTCTAACCCCCCGAGACCTTCATTCTTCTTCAGACTCAAAGGAAGATAACTTAGATGAAGTGCAAGAACCCTCCATAGACAGCAAGGGATAGAAACAATATGAAGGAGAGGAATTAATAACAGAATTTTTTATTTTGAGGTAAAGTAACCGTTTAATATTGTTTGCTATTGCACTTAACTAAATGTGTACGCAGACATGGAAAAGTTATGTGGAAGCTTGTTATACCCAATGAGAACTGCTTTTAGACATGCAAGAGCATTTTTACAAGAGTCATGAGGTGTTATGAGTTGTTACAAATGTTTTCATGGATTTTGTGTTTACTGTTTTTTTTTGTGTTTAAAGGTTTTGCGGAAATTATTTATAATAAATATAACATTTATTAAATCTATTCTGGACCATTTCCTGTTTGGATCTTGAGGTTTCTTCTGTAATCAAATTACATTTTTTATAAACTGACCTGCTCTTCAAATGAAAATTCTAAAGCAGTTTACCTTCAAATTACTTAATTGAGGTTTAAAATTTAATATTAGTAAGGGTGCTGATCGGATCCCCACCTTGCCTAAAAACCGGTAATGTGTGTGTAGATCTGGTCCTTACTTTGACTAAAAACCGGTAATGTGTGTGTAGACCTGGTCCTTACTTTGACTCAATA